TAGAGTCGCTCTTTGATTTCCTCCTCTCTGCTGTTAAAAAACCTTGAAGGCCTGGTCTAGGACTTCGGATTGATGGTTTTGTGGGCTTTATCCAGTTTTTGAAGGTGTTTTTCTTCTTCCTAATGTCTGGGGCTGACTGGGAGATGCCATGCGTAGCCAGGATCGATTTTCCTGCATGGGAGTTAGGATCAAGGTCGGTGAGTTTTTGAAGAGTCTCAGTGAGGTGAGTGAGGAAAAGGGCAGGGTTTTTATCTGATCTCTGGGTGATCTCCCTTCACCTTTCCTAATTGACCTGTTTAGAAGCTGCCCATTTCATGCCTTCTAGAAGATGGAGACCATGTGGTCGAGTTTGACCTTGTCCCCAGAGGAGGGGGTGGTAATTCCAAATGGGCTCGGCCAAGGGGACGGCCCCATTGCTGGGAGCATGTTGTGCAGGCTGTCTGCAGCTCAGATCATCAGCACATTCGGTAGCCTTGGGCCAAATTCTGTTTCTTTCCTCTGGGATGGTACAGGTGGAGAGAATAACATATAGGTCCCTCCCTGACAAATCAGAGGAAAGGGCGAGATACTCAGATTCCTTAGTGAACCTGGAGGGATGGGTTGAAAAAGAGCCAAGCTTAGATTTTATAAGAGAAAGATCTGGCGTGCAGGAGGGAACGTGAACCCGAACCATGCCCCCTGCTCCAGCCGCTTTGCCAAGAGGGAATTGGGAGCACTGGGAGGTTGGTAAGGGTGGCCAGAGGGCGTGTGGGCGGGAGAAGGATCCGACAACGACGTGGAGACAAGGGCTGAAGGCGGGGAAGGGGTGCCGAAGGGTCTGGAGGGGAAGGAGGGGGCGCTGTGGAGGAGCCAAGGGAGGATCACCTGCGGGTGGGTGGAAAGGCGGAGGTCGGTCAGCAGAGTTGAAGTCTGAGTGGGGAGAACTGGGGAGCGGGAGAGGGGTCTTTGGGGAGATAGAAAGAGTATAGGGCAAGTAGTGGGAAGCTCAGGATGATGGGTAAGTTCAAAGAAAGCTTTTTTTTAATCTTTTTATTGTTATGTTAATCACCATACATGACATCATTAGTTTTTGATGCAGTGTTCCATGATTCATTGTTTGTGCATAACACCCAGTGCTCCATGCAGAATGTGCCCTCTTTAATACCCATCACCAGGCCAACCCATCCCCCCACCCACCTCAAAGAAAGCTTTGAGATGATGTTAGGGTGTCCGGTGAGCCCGGTGGCAAAGAATTGTGCAAAGAGCGGAGCACGAGCTGGACAGAGTTTATTCACTTTGCAAGGGTGGAGAGGGGCCAGACATGGAGAGAGATGTCAGGCTCAGCTGCACCCCTGGGGGAGGATGTGTGAGGAGGGTGTCGACACTTGCTTGGCCCCATAGAGCAGGAGGTGACAAGTTTCTGCAGGGGGGACAGCTCTCTCCGGGGCTCATCTGGGATGTGGTTTGCTGACTCGCTAGAAAAGAATATGCTTTGTCGTGATGGCCTAGTTTTTCTTTTTAAAGATTTTATTTATTTATTTATCAGAGAGAGAGAGCACAAATGGGGGGAGCGGCAGGCGGAGGGAGAAGCAGGCTCCCCACTGAGCAAGGAGCCCGATGTGGGGCTCGATCCCAGGACCCCGGGATCATGACCTGAGCTGAAAGTAGACGCTTAACCGATGGAGGCACCCAGGTGTCCTGTGGTGGTCTGTCTTCTGAGAACAAGGGGCACCATGACTTGGAAGAACAGAGAGTCAGGGCCATCAGACGCCTGTGAGTTTTTGTCTGTAAGCTTGGCTGGGGAGGGGGCTTTGAATAGAATCCTTTCACCTTGCAAGTCTCCTATGTCTTTATTTTCTCCTTGTTGACCCCCTTCTGACCTCCTCTTCTGGCAAGCACATTCGCACCGCCCCCCCCCCAGGGCCTCTGTGTTCGCCCTTTGCTCTACCTGAGCACACCTTCCTCTTGTCTTTGCCCAGCTAACAGTTCCTTATAAGCTCCTCCCACCCCTACCCCTGACTCATGTATCTCCTCCTCCAGAGCCCTTTCCCTCCCCGACTAACTCCAGGCCCCTTCTGACTAACTCTTTGAGCTCTTCTGTAATTTCACCTTTTATGTGTTTGAGTCCTGGCTGCCTCCACCATCAGACTAGGGGAGCTCCTAAAAAGCAAAGCCTCTTTCCCACCGCCACCGCATGGACACAGTAGTCGTGCAGTAAATGTGAGTCGTGTCTTCCCCTTCCCCGTGCCCCCATTCCATAGGAAGAAACCAGAGCCCAGAGAGGCCAAGTCACAGGGCAGGGTCACACAGCAGCCTCTGGTCACTACCGGATTCCTGCTGGAGATGGAACCGCACAGACCTGCAGGACCCCTCTGACCTGACTTTTTTTTTTTTTTTTTTTTAGATTTTATTTATTCATTCATGAAAGACAAAGGGAGGGAGAGAGAGAGAGAGCAGCAGAGGGAGAAGCAGGCTCCCCTCAGAGCAGGGAGCCCGATGCGGGGCTCGATCCCAGGACCCTGGGATCATGACCTGACCCGAAGGCAGACGCTTAACCCACTGAACCAGCCAGGTGCCCCTTGATTGCTTTTTTACTCAATATAGTCTATATGCCAAAGCGGCCCATCTTGGGGCAGTCGGCCCTTGGCCCCTACAGGGGCATTTTTAGGAAGGAGAGAAGTTTCTACTCAGCCACATATGGGGGCTTGGGAGGAGAAACTGAACAGGTTGAATCCATCATATTGGGCAAACCTGTCCCCCATCACCATGGAAACACAGTCCAGGCACGGGGGCGGAGGGAGGGGTAGCACTGTTTGGGGACATTCTGGTAGCCCTAGCTGGGAGTGGGAGTTGAGGATGGTGGTGGAGGTGAAGGCACCTCAACCCCTCCGACCGGTCTAGTATGCACTAAGTTTTAGCCAGCACCCTTAGCCCGAGTGACTGATTAACTAAACCTTTTTTCGTATATTTATAGATCTTGCATTCTTTCCTAGAAAGAACAGAGCACTTCTGCACGTCACCAGGCTCTCCTGCACCACCCCGGGGAACCAAGGACCCAGAATCCCTTGCCGACCTGTGAGCACCATAATAACGTGTGTAGCTGGCGCCTCGAGACTGCACATAATTAAGAATTATCACAGGCCACTGCACTCCCTTAACAGATTAACTGCCCTAAATCCCTTGAAAAATTTCTGGGTCAGGCAGAAACCTTGGAGTTGGCCTTCTCCCCAGGTGGCCAGCCTCCTGAATAAAGCTCATATTCCTTCCCAATGAGAACCCATCTCTGGAATATTTGCCTTTCCAGCTTCAGGAACAGGTTGGGGGGAGGACCCAGGAGGTCACGTGAGAAGGGTTTTCTTCTGGGAATCAGAATTCCCTGAGCAGCTCAGAAGCCCTGAGTAAGTCCGGGAACATTTCTGGATTTCAGTTCCCTTATTTGTGAGATGGGGCGGGGGGGGCTGTTCCTGAGGGGTAAAATGACTCAGTCATCCTAAAGTAACCCAGTGAACTCCTCCTGGGCCGTCCTGCAAGCTGGGGACACGGAAGTGAGGAAAACCTCTAGAGCAGAGGTACTCAGAGGAAGTGAATCTGCCCCCCAACCACCATGAGAGACTTGGTAATGTCTGAAGGCATTTTTTTATTGTCACAGTGGGTGTGGGGGGGTAATGGTACAGGCATCGGGTGGGTTGGGCCAGGGAAGTTGCTCAAGATCCTGCAGCACCCAGGGCAGTCTCCACGGCAGAGCCCAACGCAGCGCAAAAGTCAACAGTGCTGACAGACACAAAGGTCCTGGCTCCAGTGCAATGGCAGGAAATGGCCTGGACAATTGTTAGAATTCTAGAAGGACTTGGAGAAAGGGAGATAACAGAGCAGGAAGGGTTGACAGAGCCTGGGAAGATCTGTGAAAGTTGACAAAGAGTCTATCAAGACAGCAGCTCTGAATTTGGAAGAAGCAGAGAGACTCTCTGGAGGAGGGGTTCCCAGACCTGGGTACTGCAGGAGGAATACGAGTTCGGGCTGGGGTGGGGAGGAACACTGTGACAAGGGCCCGGCCTATGTGTGTCTGCAGATCCAGGTTTGAATCCCAGCCCCGAATAGTCTGTGGGATAGGACTGGGAACTAGGGCAGGATGCCCCCCTACCACAGGCTGGGTTTCCCCCCATTGGACCAGGCATCAGGAGAAGATGCAGTGAGGATGGGAGGGGGAGATGAGACTAGATGAGTAGAATGCTCGGCCCTCGGTGAGTGCTGATGAGGGGGTAGAGTCCTGTATGATGATCCCAGGGAAGAGGGCCAGGGAGGCAGGGAGATGGCACCTGCCCAAACCCTCAGGGTTCCTGGGAACATTCTGGAGCAGGGAAGCTTGGGTGTGGATGTCAATGGGTGTCCACCCTCAGCTGTAGGACAGGCCCCGGATGCATGGGGGTCACATAATGGCACTCACTCCAGGAACTTCAGAGTATAGTCTTTGCCCCTAAAAGGGGTGTCTACTTTTTGGAGTTCAAAGACTCAGAAGTCAGTGAGCTTCCGGAAACCACGAAACCAAGAAATGAGCACTCGCCACCCTATGCCCTGCCCAGCTCTGGGGGGAGGCCGAGTCGGTGGGTGGGGGGAGGCAGCCCTGGGCCAAGCCCCCTGCTGGTCCATCCCTGAGGCTGCTTCTCGTCCCCCACCGCACTGCTATCTCGCCCACCTCCCCCTAACCATGCTGCCATGTGGCTCCCTCAAAACTGGTCTGGTCAGGGAAGCCTTGAAGGGGAAAGTCCAGGCTGTGGGCTATAAGGAGACATCATAAGAGGGACTAAGGGTGGCCTGGGGGGGCAGAAGGTGGCCCCGCCCTGCTCCAGGCCGGCTCCCCACTCAGGGAGCCCTCTTTCCCTCCCCAAGACCCTTCTCTGTGCCCTGCCAGCTACCCTGTAGGCAGGCCACCTCCCCAGACCCTGGCCTATCCTGGGCTCCCTCCCTCCCTCGCCTCCCCAGCTTTCTTCTACCCCAGGCCACCCCCCTCTTACCGGCAGGCCTCAGGCCAGCAGAGCAATGAGGCCCAGGAGCAGGTACACAGGCACCATCAAGGGGCTGAGTGCTTGCAAGGAGCTGCCAAAGCTGGTTTCCCCTTCCTTGCTCGAGGCCTCCTTCTCTTGTCTGGGGAAGATGTGGGGACAACTGAGGCAGCTGCCGGGCCTGCACCAGGTCTGGCCTTGTCGGCCCTCAGAATCTCCCCTCCTCCCCTACCGAATCAGTGGGGAGGAGAGTGGGCAGTGGCCACTCAAGGCTTGTGTGACCAGAGGGACGAGGCTGGGCTTCAAACGTCATGCCCTGAGCAATGGGAATTTTCCAAGCAAAGGGAGTCCTGGGTCTTGGGGTAGGATGGGTGAAAGGGGCGTGGTCAGGGGCTGTGGCTCGGACCTTAGTCGCTCTGCCTCTTCCAGAGCTTCTTGCAGCTTCTGCTTCAATTTCTCAATCTCTCCTAAGGCGGGAGAGAATCAGGGGGCTGTGTCAGCACGGTGGGCTGGACACGGCGTGACAAGCAGCCACATCCTTCGCCAGGATCTACCCCAGGACCTGACACCGCCTCCAGCCCCGCCCTCATGCCACCCCACCTTGGAAACCTGGGGTACTCCTTGCCCACCCTCCACTGGATTCTGACCACTCCCCAGCGATCCCAACCCTGGGACAACCTCCCTTCAATGTTTGACCCACCCCTCCGGATCCCCCTCCGTGGAACCCTGGCTTTGTGCTTTCTTACCCTGAAGCTCCTCTTTTTGGATGAGCTGCTCCAGACCTTGGGCCTTCTCCATCTCCAGGGAAGCTGACAGGTTCATCTGGGACAGAGGGGAGGGTCAGAGACTGGCGTTCTGGCCTGCGGAGCCAGGTAGCTGCTGCCCTGGACCCCGGACCTCTTCCCCAGGCCCCATGGTCAGAGGGGCCCAGGGCCAAACCCCTTTCAGGTTTCCCTCCAAACCTCCCTGCACCCCGGTCTCCCACCTCCAAGAATGGCCAGAACCTCCCACTCTCCCAGGGCACCTAAGGATGTGATCCTCGACATAGGGGATTTGAGGCCTCCCACGTGGGAATTTAGAGGCTCCCCATGCCCAAATCCTAGGAGAAACTCTTAGACCTCATGCGCTATTGCCCAAGATTTAGACGTCCTCCCCCAAACCCAGAACACGGGGATTTCCGAGCCCAAGTTAGATGTCCGTGGGAGTTTCAAGGTGCCCCATGTCAGGACCCATGTGAAAGTTTCACAGTCTCTCAGGGATGGAGTGGATGTATCAAGAGCCCCACCCTTCTTTAGGACGTGGTGAAGTCCCCATCCCAAAACCTAGATGGGATTTCTGCTGCCCAAGACTGGGGCAGAGAGGAAATTCTAGCTCTCCCATAACAGGTTGTAGATTCTTCCCACATCCTAGTGGGGATTTGGGTGCTCTGGGGGGAGTTTTAAAGGCCCTGCCCCACACCAGCACTGCTGAGAAAGTTTAGCCGTCCCCTAAACCCCAGCGGGGAAACTCAACTCCCATTGTGCGGGTCCAGGGGCAGTTTCAAGTTCTATGTCCAGCTCCATCTAGACCTGTGGGGGCCACGCAAGCACTGGGCCCTCTCCGGGAGCTGCAGTCGCTTACCACAGTCTGGTGGCAGGTGGCAGCCTGGTCCATGGTCCGTAGTAAGTCTTGCCGGGTTTGGTTTAGCTGGAGCTCCAGGAGGCAGGTGACATTGGGACACTCCTGCTCTGCCAGGAGGCCATCATTGCAGGCTGTGCTGTTGGCCCTGACAGCGAAGACAATCAGGCACACAAACGCAGCCACCACCAACGGGATCACCAAGACCCCCAGCCACCCCCTCCGCCCCAGCCTCCTACATCCCAGCATTGACTCTGATTTGTCAGCCATGGGCACAGGCAAGTAATGATAAAAGGTAGGTGCCATCTAGATCTGCCCCTAGATGTAGTAAGTTTGGGCGGGAGTCAGGACGCTGGAAACTTCTAGTGGCTGGGGCTACCCCCTTATTAGCATAGGGGCCGTCCTGACCAATGACAAGGTCGGAGAGAATCCTCTGACCTGGAGGCTCTTGAATCGGCCATCTGCAGGCAGAAAATGGTTTAGGCTTTCAGTTTCAATTTCCCGGGGAAAAGGTGGGTTGTTTGTGCTGAATTGAAACCTGGAGCTTTTCCAGTTGCAGGGGGAGCTGGGGCTGCCCGGCGTGGGGGGACACCCCATCTCAAGTTCCTGCTCCCTCTCCCGCATGTAACTGAGGGTGACAACTGCAGTTACTGAGGGTCTCATGCCTGTCAGCCTTGTGTTTGTGTGTCCCAGGACCTGAAGAGACAGCAACTGTCGTTGGCTCAGCTCCAAGCTGGGGAAACTGAGGCTGAGAGATGAGTGGTAGACTGGGGGCGGGGCCTGGTTCTGACCCCGGAGGCCAGGTTTTGTGTTTAGTGTTCTCCATGGTGGTGACCCAGCAGGGGTTCACCTAGCATCCCTGCACCCACCGAGGGGACCACAGGGAACCATGGAGGGTGTCTGAGGAGGGACTGAAGGCTGGGGAAGTGGAAGCCTATGCCATGGGACCCCAGGACACAGGCTGCAGTTCCCCCATTTGGCCACCAGGGCCGCCCCAACCCACAGAGAAGGTCGCCAGAATTTCGTCCTGGCTCCCACAGGGAATACGCTCCTACTTCTAGAATCTGCCTCTGCCATCCCAGGACCCCAAGTAAACCCTCTCAACCTCAATTTTCCCATCTGTAAAATGGGGCAATAACAGGAGCAGCCTCATCGAGGAGGGGGGCGGTGAGGAGTTTCTAGTGAAGTGCTTTGGCATCCAGTAGGCGCTCAGGGGATGTGTGGGCCAGGGCAGGAGGAAAGGTGAAAAACAGCGAAATATGGCCATGGAGCGAGGAGCACATTTTGAGGAAAGACGGTCCAGTCCATTTGGGATACGCTGGACCCAAAGTGCCTGGGGAGTGCCCAGGGAGAGGCCTCAGAAGGGAGCTTGAGCCAGAGCTTCCTGCTGGACATCAGCCTGATGAGAGGCTCCCACCCGCTGCCTGTGACAGGCAGAAGGTTGTCATGTGCTTTTCCTGTGGCTTCTTCAGCTACTGCCCGCCCACAGCGCAGACTCCAGCCCAGGTTTTGTTGTGTTGGCCATTTCCAGGGTTTGTGGTGAGCAGGGCCGGTGGGCAGGCAGGGCCACAGCCGGGGACCCAGGCCTCCCAGAAGGGAGAAGCCTCTCTAGGCCCCCGTTGGATGTGCTCTGCCTAGAAGTCCCCCATGAAAGCCACTCAGCAGCCAAAGAACAGGGGATGAGGGATGATCTTGCTGAAGAGGCTTGGGGGAGCTTGGGTGTTGCTTGAAAAGGGCCCTCCCTCCCTAGCCAGGACCCCAGGGGCAAACACAAGACCGTCGGCAGAGCTGATTTCACACGGTACTGGCCTTCAGACTTTGGGGTCAGTTGGGGATCACAGCTGCAGGTCAGAGGCCAAGGCTGCGTGTGAATAGCCCTGCCTCCTGTAGGACCTGGACAAGCAATTTCCTCTCAGCCTCGGTTTCTGGATCTGTAAAATGGCCATGACAAAAATGAAACCTTTCGGTGCGCCCCTAAATTTTGCAACTGAGGAGAGTGCCTTATTCACCTCGCTCTAGTCCCAGCCCAGCAAACAAAAAATTTTTCCCTCTAAAATCCCAATGGAAGCAGGCTGCCATTTGTCTGATTTTAGCTTTGTTACTTTTTGTTAAGGATTGTTTTGTTTTAGGATAGTTTTGGATTTGCAGAAAAATAGTGAAGACGTACAAAAATGTTCTGTAGGCCCCCGTCGACCTCTGAGAGTCGTGGACCTGGGGCGGCGAAGGAACAGAGGGAATGAGACAACAGTAAAGCGAGGCCCAGGGGACCCCGAGCGAACAGCCAGAGGTCCCGAGATTTATTTTCCATAATCTAATATAACTTCTACAATGATATAGGTCTATAATGATTTACAGCAGGGGCTTAATAAGGCACATTCTTCCACGTACACAGGGTTAGTCAAGTGAAGCAATGGGAATGGGAGAAGGAGTAAAGAAATCTGTGAACTGGCTGTGATCAATTCATTGTAAACACCTTTGTACTGGGACCTTAACACAGGATGAGAGAACAAAGAAGGGAGTGCACGGTGCGCTGTTTAACAGCTGGCTTCCTATCTGCAAAACATCTTCTGCCGCGGACTTTAGAACAGACCACACACATCCCAAGGGCATTTCACTCTGATCCTTTCGGGTTATTTATTTATTTATTTATTTATTT